CCAGGTGTGAGTGCAGAGGAGATGGGGCGGGAGGAAGGGCGCCAGGGCGAGGACGGGGCTATGGCCGTGAGTGCTTCCCATACCAGCGTAGGGGCAGGGCGGGGAGTTGGGGGCCCGGCTGCCGCGCAGGATTTGGAAACGTCCTCCTGCCCCTCCATTGCCCACAGCGAGAGCAGCGACAGGAGCCGCGGCGAGCACAGAGCAGTCCCCCGCTGCCGGCGGGGCTACATGGGCCATCTGTTCATCATGGCACAGGCCATCATGGAGGCTGCTCGGCTCCCCCTTGTGGAGGGGGCGGAGGGGGAGGGGCTGCTTGAGGTTCCCTTTGTCGCGGGAGGACTGCAATCAGCCACGGAAGGGCATGAGCCTCAGCCTTCGTCGCCCTCGGATCCGACCTTGGGCCCTCTCCCGTCCTCTCTTGGGCCGCAGTCCCGAGCCCAGGCATCGGGCGGCCTCGAACCGGGAGCTTCCCTGTCTTCGTTCGCGCAATTTATGGGCAGGGAGGTTGACGCAGCCCTACGTCAGCGGTGGACGGAGTTCTCGGAGGGGCGCTTGGCGGAGGTGACGGCGAGGCAGGGTCATCCCCTCGGGGGCTTCCCCATCCCTTCCAGAGCGGACGAGAACACGCTGTCCACCAAATTCGACGACGGCCCCGGCCCTGACTTTGACAGCGAGTCCGAGCATTTGGCACAGAGGCTGTCGGGGGTGGATGTTGGGGAGGGAGGCGGTGTGGGGGAGGAGCTGAGCGGGGGGCAAGGGGATGGGAGCGGTATGGGCTGGTCAGGAAGTGTCTTACCCCCAGTAGAGGGGGGACCCGACGAGGACGCCCGACTGCTGATGCAGCAATTACAGCGCCAGCAGGAAGAGCAAGACGAGGAGCTGCAAGCCTCGCACGGCTTGGCGCTCCGATCGGGCTCAGGCCTGGGGGATAGCGCTTTTGAGACCAAGGGCGGATCGTCCGCGCAGGGGCCGGACGGATTTGGAGGGGGGAGCGGCGGCAGCAAAATCGAGGGCAATGGGCAAGGGAGTGGAGGTGTCTTTGGACAGGACAGTATACCGGGGCTGGTGGCGGGGGGATGGGCCGCGAAGGCATTCGCGGAGGGGGTGCCTTCGGGGGGAACCTTCGGAGAGGGGTGGGCGGATTTTTCGAACGTCTCGTTCCCTCCATTGGACAGCCTGCACAGGCCTGTGGATACGGGGCATGCTCCCGCTAGCAGTGGTGGCGGTACGACTGGGACCTCGTCGTTTGCAAGCGTCTTAGCCGGGCGTGGCTTCGGGTCCATGTTGGGAGCCGGTGGAGGAGGGGAGGGGGAGGGGGCGACCGGCTGGGGTCCAGACAAGGAGGAAGGTGTCCGCGGGAGCGAAGAAGAGGAGGAGGATTTTTTCTCCTCGTCGACCACAGTGCATCTAACGCGCAGTATGGGGGGGGAGATGGGCTCGGTGACGACCGCAGGGAGTATAGGGGGGGCGGAGGAAGAGATGTCGGCGGACGGGGATGGGGGGGGAAGGGAGGAGAGAGTCGAGGTCGCAACATCGGATGCGAGGAGCAAGGTGGCGCTACCCTTGGGAGGCATTGTACAGCAAGAAGAAGACGAGAAGGAGTGAGTGTAATACGACGGAGAAAAGAAGATAGCATAGGGGGGTTGCCTGGTGAAGACGCTGTCACTCTTATGTCCGAGGAGAAACTTTCTTTTCCCGGCAAATGTTTTCACGCTAGGAGATGGACTGGAACGACAGGCAATAATGCGGCCTGGGTCAAAGTAAGTATCATTGGATGATGGTGTCTCTCCAGCGCACGACAAGGTGTTTGTCTAATGATCAGCGGCTAGTGTGATTATGTATATTCTTTTTTGAAGCATATACAAAGGAAAGGGGGAACCGCCAGCCAGGGTCTGGGTTATAAACTCAAATAAGGACACGATGCTTCCGGTCAAAGAAAGTAGAAGCATACCATTAAACTAACTATCATGACACCACTGTATTTAATTACTGTTGTTGAATATTGTAGTTTGCCACTGTACTTACACACTGTAGTTAACCTCCTGACCCCCCGGGCAGGAAAGTCATGGTTGGCGAGGGTGGTTGCAACCTTCGTGCAAAATCCTCTTCGCAAACGTATGCCACAACCATACGCAACTTTTTGTCCTCGAAATAGAACACATTTACGAATCACCCGCAATAAATATGCAAGCAGAAACAGCACAGGTATCACATCATGCTTCGCACGTCGACCTTGGCCTTGTTGCGCCGTGCCGCATCGGCCACTCCGCAACAGCAACATCACATGGCAACTAGCCTTGTGTTCCGCGCTGGGACAAATGCTACTATGGGCTTCGTCCGCCATCCTCAGGCTATGTCACCCATATTGATAGTAAAGAGTCGCAGGTTTGGTACGCATGGAGACGGTGACGTGATGCCGAGCGCCATGAAAGGAGGTTCGGGGGGAGGACATGGGACGAGCGCTGCCTTGGAAGATTTGCTAGCTCGTGAACTGCAGGAAGAAAAAGACCTCATGGAGAGCGAAGAACGGGCACCGGAACTGGAGGACGTGTCCGAAAAGATTCATAAGCGCTTTCACATCAAAGAGTCTCCAGGCAGCAGGTGCGTTCACATTTGGAATCTTGAGATATACTGGGGATTCTCAATTGGAATAGAAAGGAGTGTAGGAAATTTTATTCACTCTCTCGTCTAATATTTTTCCATGAAGTATTATCAAAATGCATACAAAGCACAATACGGAAAAAATCATGGTGCAGTACGATGTGCAAGACACGACGGAGGATGAACTCGACCCTCAAGAGCTCGAGGACGAGAAGGCGGAGGATTACACTGTGGGAATCCGGGGGGTGGTGACAATTGCGAAAGCCCACCACAAGTTGATGTTCTCTGTAGTGTTCACCAACACGGTGTGGGTGGAGAAGGTCGCGCTTGACTCGGACGGCCGGGAGTGGAACGACGAGACCTTGTACTGGTCGGATTTCTCCGAGTACCCGGAGGATGTCCAGGAGGCCTTCACGCGGCATCTGGCGGCGCGGAATATTGACGACGAGCTGGCTGTTTTCGTCTCCTACTTCGCTTTCGAGAAGGAGAAGGAGCATTACCTGACGTTCCTCGAGCGGGCCACAGAGTTTGTCGGAGCCAAGTGATGGACCTCGCCATATCTGTCTTCCTCTTAGCGCGTGCCTGGTTATCTCACTGGGCCCTTCGAAATAGTTGTTTGTTTTGCTTACGGACAATAAGTTTGGAGCAGCCCGGTGGTAGAGCGCGAGTCTTAAGGAAAAGAAACACGGATGCCAGTTACATACCATCTTGCAACGACTCTTTATCAAATCTAACTTCTTTTGCTTTGAAATCAATTCCGTACAAAAAATGCAAAAAGGCCAAATTTCACAAAGCCAATTTCGCGATCCTAAACTTGGAGGATAAAGCGTCGGTCTCTCCCGTCGCGCTCTTAAGGTGCTTTTTGACTTTTTTTTTACATAGCCCTCCACTCCCATCATCTCCACCATCATCGCTCGGCGCGCCTGCAACTCAATACCCGTCCTCTCCACACTTGGATAATTCCTCTTCTCCTTCCCATCTCAGAACCCACAAATGTGCAGGCACTCCAAGAATCTATCGGTCGAGACGGTCTCCTCTCCTTGCCTCGCCATCTCCGTCACCATCAAGAGCTGCTTGATCCCTATTGGCTGGCTGATCGCTGACGTGATATCATCCATCTCCTTCTGCGACAGGGAGGTGACCACCTCCCGTAGGACCGTCTTGATCTCCTCCGGGCCCGTCAGCTGGGGCACGGTCAGCATCACGTTGAAGCCCTGGACGAGCTGCAGGTCCTCGAGATGGGCCGCCACCGAGGTCGTGCCGATCACGAGCAAGCGCTTGTCCGGGGAGGTGGGCGGCTTCTTCAGAAGCACCAGCAAGGTCTGCACCACCGTGTTAGAGAACCGTGGGCCGATGGGGGAGTAGTCGATGAGCCGCTCCAGATCGTCGAGGACGATCACGGAGAGGGGCGAGCGGGAGCTGTCCTGGAAAGCCTTCAGGATGGCCGAGCACTTGGCGGTCTCCGAGAAGCCGACCATGGCATCCGCCGATACGACCCTCACGAAGGGAAACTCGCTCTGCACGCCCAAAGAGGCGGCAATCGCCGTCTTCCCCGTGCTGGGAGCGCCCTCAAGCAAGACAGACAGGAGGGGCGTCCGGTCCGAGACCCGGACTTGCTGGACGAAGCGGCGCAGGGTCATCATGATCGCGTCGAAAGAGGAGCCGTACGGGACGATGCCATTCCGAAACAAAACCTCAAGCTCCTCCGAGTTGGCCCCTAAACGGGGAGGGACCTCCAAGAGGGCCCGCTGAAAGTCCGCCCACTCCACTATCAGCTCCTCCTCCTTAAGCTGAGACAGGTCCTTCACGTTCACGTTGCGCTGGAAGGCGAATGAGGCCGCCGACTTGACTAAGCCTTCAATTTCGGCGCCGGAGTAGTTCTTGGTGGCGCGTGCGAGCTCCGCAAGTTTTCCCACGGCCTCGGGCGCGATGCGTTTATGCTCCCGCATGCTTTTTGTGTGGATAGATATGATCTGCAGGCGGCCCTCCTCGTCAGGAAGCCCGATCTCCACGTGCACCTCCAGCCGACCGGGACGCAAAACTGCCTCGTCGATCATGTCCTTTCTGTTCGTCATCCCTATGACCAGGATGTTGTTCAGAGAATTCACGCCGTCGATCTTAGAGAGCAACTGGTTCACAATCGAGTCCGAAACGCCAGTGCTGTCGCGGCTGGAGCCACGAGACTTGCAAATGGCGTCAATCTCATCGAAAATAATCACGTGCAAGCCACTACCGTCCCCCATTTCCTGCTGCTCCTTCTCCGCGTCCTTGAAAAGCTCCCGGATCCGCTCCTCCGACCCGCCCACGTATTTGTCAAGGACCTCGGGCCCATTCACGATCTTGGGCTCGCGCGCATTCAGAATCTTTCCGATGGTACGCGCGATGAGGGTCTTGCCGCAGCCTGGTGGGCCCCAAAGCAACATGCCCCGCACGTGGTTGATCCCGAGTTGCTTGACGATGTGCCCGGGAAAGACGCGCGACGCGAAGGCCCGACGAAAAATTTGATTGAACTCGTTCCCAAGACCTCCGATACCTAGCTTCCCAAAATCAAAATCTGGGTTGATGATGTTGTCGCGGGGGGCGCCCGAATTGGCGCCGGACAGGGCCACCATGGCGCCTTTCTCCTTCGTGAAGACGACATCCGTGGGCTGCAAGAGCTGCCCAGCGTTGGGGCAGTTTCCACCCGGTATCAGATTTTGAAAGCTCTCTATGATCAATTCCAGCTTCGTGCCACGAAAATCCCATGCCACGGGCTGCTGCGTCTGTAAGACCTGCGAAAGAAAGGCGGCCTTGAAGGCCCCGGCCATTTCCTCCGTGGCTAGCAGCAAGGGCGACTTGACTTTACCTTTTGCCAAGAGGTCCACACGGACTATTACAGAGGTAAGTGCTAGACCAGCATTACTCTCGAAAATGTCCACTTTGACGCGCTGGGTCAGCGTAAAAACACCGAAACGTCGTTGCAACGAGTTCAGGCCTATGTTCCCAGTCTCGATGCCCTTATTTGGACTGACCGCAAAAACCAGTCCATTTACTGTTATGAGCAGCGCGTCGTCCTCAATCTTGCTGGCCTCAGGGTTGCCTACGCGAGAAAGAAGGAACTCCCAATCGGGGTGGCTTACATATACCCTACATGGGAGAGGAGCAGAGAAGTAGAATGAGGATGGGCTTCCTTGCATGTCTGCAGAATTATTAAGGGACTCACCGATTCGTGTACGCCAAACTGTTGCTAGGCTGTTGGCCCACAGCGAGATCCATCGTGTTTCTGTCGTTGTGAGCCCCTTTTTGTGAAACTCTGTGACCTGAAGGGAGTTGAGCGCAAGTGGAGGGGGCCGCCGCGGCGGGGGTAGCGTCATCGAGGGGCACCGAAATGGGCATGCCTGCAAAACGTGAATTTAGACATCACCACTCTCCCCGCCCTTATTAGGTCGCTGCCAAGTGGGAGTCGATTGCAAAGCTTACACCTGTCTCAAATTGAGCTCTTTTTTTTTTGCAATCAACGGCCCCCTCTGGAGGTGACATAGAGATGGGGCAGTCGAAAGACCATGACATGTTGCCGGCCCATTAGCGTAACGCTGATCGAGTCCCAAATTAATACATTTAAATGGGACCTGCGAGTTAAGACTCATGCTATATCTTTTTCAAACCGTACATGGACAATTGAAGAAGATCGAGAGGCTAAACAGGAGACATTTACATGTGAGCGGCTGATGAAAATCGTGCAGGCCTCCGTGACTATGTACACGAATTCAACTGAATTTGGTGGGATCTGTTCTCAAACTTTCTCATTTTTATGCAGCACAAGCACGACAGGAACACTTCGGTAAGAGAGAACCCTAATTCACAAAAGAGGTCATCTTAAACCTCTTTTTCGCCATCTTTGGCGGGGCAGGCCAGCCAAATACGATGCATTCCATCTTTGGGGGCATGAAGCGGGCGGACACCTGCAAGTATGTGGCGCTTTTGGTCTTAGTTCTCCAGAACTCTGCGGTAGTTCTGACTGTGCGCTACTCACGGATGAGGAAGGATGTAATGTACATTTCTAGCACGGCCGTGGTCATGTCAGAGATTGTGAAGCTCGTCGTAGCTTCGTTCCTGGTCGGCATGGAGGAAGGGGGCTTGTGTGGGCTGGGCAGTAAACTCTACCATGACATAGTGCTGAAACCTGCCGATTTTGCGAAACTTCTGGTCCCTGCATTCCTTTTCACGATTCAAAACAATTTGTTATTCGTCGCGCTTTCAAACTTGGATGCCGCTAGCTTTCAAGTACTCTACCAGCTCAAAATATTGACCACGGCTGTCTTCTCCGTTGTCCTCCTTAACCGGCAACTAACCTGCAGACAATGGCTGTCTCTATTGGTCTTAATAGTCGGGGTCTCTCTCGTTCAAACGTCGGGTTTGAAAGACGGAAGCACGTCGAGTACGGCTGGCAGAAACGGCAGCACGTCACTTGGATTCGTCTGCGTATTACTGGCTAGCTGCTCGAGCGGGTTCGCGGGAACCTATTTTGAGAAGGTACTGAAGGACTCCGAGATCTCCGTGTGGGTGCGAAACGTGGAGCTGGCCCTGATCGGTATCCCTGTGGGCGTCTTTGGCGTTTGGTACACAGATGGGGCCGCCGTGCGCGAGGCCGGCTTTTTCTCTGGCTACAGCCCGCTCGTCTGGTCCGTGGTCGGGCTCCAGGCCGTGGGCGGTATTGCCATTGCTTTGGTGGTCAAGTACGCGGACTCAGTCCTCAAGAACTTCTCTACGTCCGTTTCCATTGTTGTCTCCTGCCTGGTGTCCTACGTGGTCTTCGGGGAGACCGACCTCTCCCCTCAATTTCTGGCTGGTGTCAGCTTGGTCATGTACTCCACCTTTTTGTACGGCACAAGCTCTTCTGGGATGTGCTGCCTCTCCGAGGGTGGTTCTTTTACCCCAAATAAGGGCGTGGCTAGGAAGGAAAGCAATAAGGTCTGGTCTGTGGCCTGCTGCGCCAAGCAAGCTGCGAGTACACGTGATGACCCTCTCGCAAGCGTCCCGTTCCTGGAATCTGCGGACAAGGAAAACCGTCAGAGGAAGGATTGCGAGTCTCATGGCAATAAATCTAATAGGGTCAGTGCATCCGTCGCATGATGAGAGTGCCGTAGAAATGCTGAGAGGAAAGGCGCGTTATCGTACCCACTATCCGTCTCCTAACCTCTCAAGGGGGCTACGATAGTTTTGACGCGAGACAGCCAGTGATGAACGGAACAGTCGCTAATGTAATGGTATCAACAGTTGCTCGTGGTATCTTGGGAACGATTTATGAGCTTTTCTTCATGTGTTAGGAGGCGATACAATTACTTTATAAGCTTTTGATATCATTGATTCGCCTCCAGAGCATCCAGTCACTTTTATTTGCTCTTTCCAAAAACGATGGGATGCTATGAAGTCAAATTCAGGCCTCGTTGCGAGCGTGTTTCCCGCGCATGATGACCGCAGATACTGGCTCAGACATTCGCCCTGCTTGATGCCTGCGCTCGGCTTTTCCCTCTACTTGGCGCCCCATTACTTTGCATTCCAGACCCTCGATTCGCTGAGCGATGCCTGTTTCCCTTGGACTTCCGCGCAGTTTCGCCTTTTCGAGGCGCGGCCCTGTCCGGTCCCATGTTAGCCTCCTTCGTCTCCTCCCCACGCACCCGCTTTCGTTTCTTTTTATTCTTGCCAAGACTTGTCCCGCTTGAAGCCCTCCCCTCGTCCACGGCCTCGCCAGCAGCGTAGGCTGCCAAGCACGTTATGCGTACTCCGGCACCCAAAGCGGCGCCGGGTCCCACCTCCACCTGTGTGCCCGCGGGCCCGACCCGCCAGACCAGGATCTTCCCATCCGATGACGCCGTCACCAGCTCTCGGCTTTGTTGCCAGAAGGGCAAGGCCCTGTTCCCCCAGACCACAGCCTCCTTGATGCGTCCGCAGTGCGGGCCCGTCTCCGTGCAGGAAAGGACGGACCCCGTGTCTCCATCCACGACGCGCAGCATGCCGTCGTCGCAGGCCGTGACCACATGGTGCATCGGTGCCTGCTGCTCTATCGCCGCAGAAATCTCTAAGCTTTTAGCTTCATCAGCACACGGGGCGGCGGCAGCGGCAGGGAGGAAGGCGATGGCTGTGACACGCGCGGGGTGGGTGGCGATGGCCGTGGGCTTGTTATCCGACGCTCTTCGTACCTCCAGGCGACGATCTCCCACTTGAAGCGCATAGACGCTCCCATCGCCAGACCATTTGACGGTCTCGACCACCGCTTCGAGCTTGGTGATGTAGGCGCAACGGCCACGAACCAGATCCCAGAGACGCAGACTCCTATCGCGCCCTGAGGACAAGGCGAGCTTCCCAGACGGGTGTATAGCGACGGCAGTGATAGCTCCCTTGTGTCCACCCAAAATATGAAGAAGGCTCCAATCGTACACGCGCCATATGCAGACCGCACCATCCTCACTACCGCTCAGCAAGTGGGATGAGCCCACAAAGCCCAGGGCGGTTATGGTACCCTTATGGTGTAGAAGCTCGCCGACTTCCGCGCGTTTTCGTAGGTCATACATGCGGATATGCTCGTCAACACCACCTGACACTAAAAGAGACCCAGCTTTGACCCCCCCTTGTGGTATAGCCAGCGATCGGACGCTTCCTTGATGCGGGGTGTAGGCAAAAATCTGCGAGAAGGGAACGTGGACATAAGCCCCGATCAATCGCTTTCTTACTGCCATATCTTCACAAGGATACAAAAAAGAATCTTTCCGCCAATCCTGTATCAAGAATCGAATCATGCGTTTTGTTGGTAAAGCTCGGTTGACGTACGTACCATCTTCAGGCCTGTTGTCTGATTTTGCCCTTCCCGCTGCAATTCCCAGCCTGCTATGCCGCCGTCATACGTGCCTGCGACACAAATATACCTAGATGTGGGAAAAATTGGTAGTAGCGAAGACCCAATAGCCGCTGCGGCGGGAAACAGAGGCGGAACAGGCATGGTAATCTGTACGACGAACTGTGGGAACACCCGAGAGGGGGGAGGTTAATGGTGAAATCTTGTGTGCACCGTTGTGACGACCCCTGAAAGAATATTCACAGAGTCCTTCAGACATGCTCGAAGACATAAGAGACATGCGGCAGGCCGGGTCACCCCGCCTGTCCCTAGTGCCAGAAAGGCCGCAGTGTTGGCAGGGGCACGGGGGGGCCATGTCGGCGGGGGCGGGAGACCTCATCCTGCGGCCCTCCGAGCCTGCCAGCCAGCCACCCAGCCACCCTTCTTTCCTCCCGCCCTGCCCCGTGCCTCTGTGGCCTCATGGACGCGTCATTCTCCCTTAGCATGCTCTGTAATATGTTTCTTTCGAATTCTGTGTGACTCTATCTTTCGTTGACACACGAATGGCGATGAAGATGCTCTCCTTGTGGGGCGCTACCGCTTTCGACGAGACGAGCGGTACCGTCATGCCCGTCTTGTTCAGTAATCCAGAATTATACTTTCGAGGAAATTCCAGCGGCATGATTGGAGTGGTATAGAAGTCTAAAAGAGGTGCACGACAGCCTAACCCCCCACGCCGGAGTGCGTTGATACCCATTGCTCTGTTTTCTCCATCTCATCTCCTCCCCTTCCTCCTCCATCAGGCATCCACCATGGTTGCGGAGAAAGTTTCCAAGCGCGGTGGTTACCGTGAAGCCGATCAACATGAAAAGGCTTATCAAGTGCAGAAAGGTGTATTTATGTTTGGAAAGTCCTCATCCCGCAAGGAGGGGTCCAAGCGCTCAAAGCATGTACGTGTGGAGATAGTAGGCTGGGAAGGATGCAGTTTTGGGGAGGGGCGTTTTCAATATACTCCAGTCAAACATGAGACAACTATGAAGTATCTGTCGGAGACGACATGTGTTTATCACGATTTTCAGACGTCTTAACGAGCACACTGTCGCATCCTCCCATGCTCCTCAGGGTGCGCGATGGACCAGGGAGGTGGGCCTGGGCTTCAAGACCCCGAAGGAGGCGAAGGCCGGGACCTACGTCGACAAGAAGTGCCCCTTTACGGGATCCGTCTCCATTCGTGGCCGTATTCTCAAGGGCATCGTCCTTTCCACGAAAATGAACCGCACCATCATCATCCGACGGGACTACTTGCACTGGGTCTCCAAGTACAGCCGTTTCGAGAAGCGCCACAAGAACTTGGCAGCGCACTGTTCGCCCGCCTTCCCGCAGGTGAAGGAGGGCGACATTGTGACGGTCGGCCAGTGCCGCCCTCTGAGCAAGACAGTCCGTTTCAATGTACTTCAGCATGAACCCTCCATCAATCAGGCGTTAAGCATCAAGAAGCAGTTCCGCGTCTTTTGAGCAGGCCAGAGCTACGGGCGATGGAGGCGTGTCCATGCTCTGCATTGAGAGTGGGAATGGGTTACCGACACCGGAAGGAGGAGGGGAAATTCAGGGTGAAAGTTGTTCAATAATGCGCCACCTCGATCATGCAAGGGCTCCTGAGCGCGTCGGGCAGCACTGTGGTAGCTGAAAGAAGAAAAAGAATGCCCCACGGGTTCTGTCTCCCTGCAATTTCGCTTTCCCTCCAGCATGGGGTCAATCACGAGATGTTGAATTTGATAAATTTTGTTCTTTCGCCCTCGAGGGCGTGATCGCACCCTGAAACACACAGCTACAGAGCCCTCATCGCCTTGAAATCGGTCCACCTTAAAAATATACGTGGCGCGACCTCTGGCTAGACTGGAAGGGCGTGCACCTACTTCCCTTACTCCTTCGCGCGCCCTCTTACTGACTTTCTTCGGAACCATCAGTTTCGGCCCCCACTGGTCCGCTCCCCCCCACGGCAGCGCTAGCAAAATCTGTACCTCGCCCGGACTCACGCCACAGCCAGGGGGCCCTCATGAACCGCGTGTCCAAGCTCACACACTTTCCTACTCTCCCCCATCCTCTCTACTTCGCGCTCCAGCATTTGAATCGCCGCCCGCACCGTCTTCACCGGCGCGGTCGTGAAAATGGTGGCCGGGTAGCACGACGAACCCCAGCGGGGGTGGAGGAGGATCTTGCAGCAGCCTGCGTTTTGTGTCTTGTAGCGCAGCAGGTGCTCGAAGCCGGCGACTTCGCTGTAGGGGCGCGTGCAGTGCGGGGTTAGCATGGGCAGGCCCGAGCAGGGATCGATGAAGTCGGCCCAGAAGCCTTGGCCTCGCAGGCCCTGGCAGAGGGGCCGCGCGAAGGCCACGAAGCGCTCCAGGCACCGGTCCTTCTCCTCCTCTACCTCCGGTCCGAAGCGGACAGTGTCCAGCCGAGATTTCTGCATGGTGGGCATTATGAGCAGGGGCCCGTCTTCTCCCCCCCCCCCCTCGGGCAGCACGTCACTTGGATTCG